CTCTCCATGGCCTCTTCGCCGCTACGGATCGACCGACGCAGGCCAAGCTGTGCGTCCAACATGTCCAGCTTGCCCTTGAGCAGAAGCAGAGAAGGAAGGCTGGAGGAGCGCTGCTCCATGACCTTGAAGAGGGTGGACATCCGCTTCAGAAGGTCGGGCTTGCCGGCGAGAGCTCCGCCGTGGGCGACACAAGTCCATTGCACCCACACGAGTAGGTGGCCATAGCGACCCGGCCGAGTGGAGAGGCGCTCTGCGAGTTTTTGAAGTAGGGTCGCTGCGAGAGAGGAATCGAGACGCTGGATAGTGGTGCGGATGATGGACAGTTCGCCAGTGTGGAAGCAGGACTCGAGCATGGCGTTGTCGTTGGTTTTAAGGGACTGGGTGAGAACGGTGGAAAGGGACACGCCCGTGGGAATCTGCTGCACGGCTGCGCTGGGCTTGCCTGGAACAAGCGATCCCATATGAACGTCGTCCTCAAGCTCAGCCTCCACGTCGACCTCCTGGTTAGCGCGCATGAGCTCTCCGAAAGAAGGCTCGCCTGTCTCGTCTTCATCCTCCTCCTCCGAGCCAGATTCCTGGGCATTGCCCATCTCGACATCGCTGTCCGCGTCAGACTTCTTCTGCAACTGCTTGGAATCGTTCTTTTGCTTGGGTTCCGCCTCCTCGTCGTCCGACTCCTCGTCACTGCCAGCTACAGAAGCAGCATCCTTAGAATCTTGCATCTCGATATCGTCTTCAATAACATTTCCCTGTTCCACAACTGCCTTGGACTCGTCGACTTGGTTCTCGTTAGCGGCTCTCGTTCCGTTCGTCGTGACCGATCCCAGAACCGAACCAGACTTGGACTTGGCGATATGCTTGGTGCCTGTGAAAAGCAAGTCGTCCGTCTCTTCGTTGAGCCACTTGATCCGCTCGAAAACCGGAACCACGCCGCCCTCGGCCCAAGCAACAACCAAGTCCGGACCTTCGAACGAAGCGGCCACCATGGAAACCAAAGCATTGGATGTTGCGGACACGGTCACCTTGATCTGAGAATCAGCTCTCCGGATGGCCTGCTTCGATCTGGCTTTGAGGCTAGCGGCGCCCTTAGCAGTGGACTGATCGTTCGGCAGCACGAATGGCCGAGTGAAGAGTTCGATGGTGCCATCCTCGGTGACCGCAGCGATGACCTGCTTCTCTGCCGGCAGAGTAGAACCCTTCCGTTCCGCACCGGTGTACAGAGACACTGATGATACACCATTCTCAGCCACGAGGTTCAGGGCAAGCTTTCTTTTCTCAACATCGAAAACAGTGATGTAACGGTCGCCATCGGCAGCGAGGAAGAGTCCAGAAGCGGCAGAATCCGTAGAAGAAGGAATGATGTTCTTGATCGGGTTCCGCATCGCGTCGAAGGTGACTGGGGCTTCATCTTTTTCTACGCTAACGACGTACGGGGTCTGAGAGGCGCAGATGACAGGTGGGTTCGAGGGAAGCGGGCGCGCCAGTGTGCTGAGGGCCGATGTGCTGGGAATATGAATTGTCCTAGATAACAGTTAGGTATAAGGCCGGGCTGTACCAAAGTTGCTGGGGAAAGAGCTACCTGGTCGTCTTCCCGGTGAACAGATCCCACTGCACAAGCTTATTATCACCGCCGATACTCCAACCCTCCTGTCCAGGTCGGCTGGAGGTAAACTTGAAGTCTCTGATACCTTTCTCATGTCCGTTTGCAAGCGTTCCGACGATCTTATCCTCCACGGGCGAGTACATGCGGATTTCGGAGGCACTGGTACCAATGGCAACCACTACGTCTCCCTGGTCGAACCCGTTGCCATTGACGTCGGAAGGTCTCTTTCTCTTCTTCTTGGACTGCTGATCGCGATCTTTCTTGGTGCTAGAGTAGTAACCCCAGTCTAGGGAAGTGACCGTCTCCTTAGGACCCAAGACATGCTCGCATTGTAACCGTCCGGTGTTCGTATCGTGGATGCGGAGATGCTGAGCATCGAGGCCTTGGATGACTGATGCAAAAAGCGCCAATTGGTATTCCGAAGGGGCAAACGAAGCCTTCAGTATCGAAGACTTATTCCCGGTATATGTGAGGCCGGATGCCGCGGGCGACGCAGCGGAGGAAGTTTTCGTCGCAGGCGGGCGAGACGCTTTCTTGCCCATTTTGAACTGGCTCGCTGTATAGGCGGATGGGAGCAGATGCAAGAGAACGTGTCGCAAAGCAAGCACGCAAAGGTAACAAGAATCCTAGACCCGCTGCGGATAAGGAACAGAACCTCTTGTGCTGAAAGCCAGTTGAGCTGCAAACCGTCGGCGTCGCTGGGCCGTTGATGCTGGAGGAGGAAAAAAAAGTTCTGTAGAGATGCGCTTGGCCCGTTGCGGTCTAGTCGCCTGTGAACCTTAGTTCCGCTCCGGGCGTCTTATCTAATCCTCCGCGCGGGTTGCAGCGCATACTAGTTAATAACTAAGCAGCCAGCGGCTCTCTCCTCTCCAAGAGCACAGAACTCTCTCCTCTTCCTTCGACGTCGATCCAACAGCGCCCTCTCTAGTCTCTCAATGCGACGATTCTCCTCACCTGTCTGTCTGTCTGTCTGACTGACTTGTTCTCCTCTGCTCACATCTTACTCATACTTCACATGAATTAATGTCCCCTGCAGAGTGCTTCGAGTCCATTGGCTATAATGGTTCTGTTCACCATAAGATTCACAGACGCCCGCTGGGCAATATTCAGAATGCTTGACCCCGCGTCGTCTTCTACAGCCAACTAACCACTGCTACAAGTTTCTCCTGATTCCCACACTCACTCGCTCACATACAGCTTCTTTGGGTGGTGACAATGGGTTTGTCAAGCTTTTCTTTTCGCACCAATTTCTCTTTCACATGATCACACTCGCAACTATAATTTCATTCTTTGATGACTCTTTCCATGGATCCATCTAGCTTATCCCTCACAGAGGGGGGTGGCACTCGGGTGCACTGGACCTTGTTAACTATACGAAGAATGACTCACACTTCATCTGGACATATCTTGCTACCTATGCAGGTATCCACGTCTTGATCCACAAAAAGTTAGGGGCTCTGGCTGAGACAAGACATATCCGAGATAATGGAGCACACATGGGGTAGTTTCTGATCGAGACCAACAGAACAAGGAGTGGCAGCAGGCGCCACCGTTACTCTACGGCTGCCTAGACGAGTCATCCAGTCAACCCAGCAATATTGTGAGCAAGGTAACTCATCAAACGCCAGTTGGAAATGCCGCAGCCACAGCAGCCGCCACTTTTACAGCTCTTATACGTGATACCTTTCACCGGTATGCGGGCCAGCTCGCGAAATGGTGTTGTCATTCGGAATCGGAATCGGAGCTTTGGCCCGGAGTGGTTGGTTACATCAGCAGGCACACCCAGCCTAGTCCGGATCCGATGCAAGGGAGGGTTCAGGGCCTAACCCTGGGGTTTCATCAGGTCTGGTGACCTCCACAGCCTGGCTCGGCGTCCAGCTCAACAGGCTTCACCCCGATACATGATGCACTTCTTATACCGCTTGAATGCCTGACAGATTTTTGGGTATGTCATATCTGACCTGACTCACCTTCAGTATCATCACGATGCATCTCGTCGATAAAATGGGATGATGGGGGCTCTGTGCCGATCGTTATTCCCCCAAGGTTTGGGAGGTGTGGAATGCCTGGTTACATTTTCACCTGATGTTGTTGTCTTCACCACCACCTGAAGACTTTTTTTTTTTTTTTGCTCACACCTCTCTTGTTGTTTTCGATGTTTCCGACAAAGGGAACTTTTGGTACCCGGAACCTGGATCCACCGTCCAGGGTTGGTTACAACCAATAACAACTCGTATCTCGTAGAACGCGTCATCCCTGGACCAATCAGCGGCTGCGGAATGGCTTGAACTAGAATAATTGGGACTAGCGTGGCCGATGGAGTTAGCGGCAGAGGACGGACGGGCGCAACGCGACCGTTCGTACTTAAGGATTCTAGCACCCCCTCCGACTTTCTCAGTCTCTGTTTCTGGAGCTGAGCTGAGAGCTGCTGCGCGCCGGTCACGCTTTCCTTATTACCCTGCCATTCACGCCCGCCCCCCGACCGCCCTTTGTGTCCTCGGCTGCCCCTGGACTGCGCTCCATCTCTCCTTCCTTCATAAACACGCTATTCACGCGTCATTCGCGTCGCGCGCTTGCTCGATCCCAGCCACAGCTACTGCAGCTGCTTATTTGGGTTCCATTTTTTATTTTTGGCCCGCCCCTTTCCCCTTTTTTTCTTCTAATATTATTAGCAACGACTCCATCGCGTTGCCGACAACACGGACTTTACTTCACTGTACCTTCCTCATCGCTTCTCCCACAGCCCCCTTTCAGTTCTTACTTCCAGGCATCAACACCTGGTTCTGGCCTCAGGCAGCAATCGCGGCTTGGCACGTGCAGATTGTGGATTGACGAGCATTTGAGCTCCAACTGACATTCTCCTTATCTCGTCTTCTCTCACCTGCAACTTTCCCCCTAGTCCCTTTCTTTTCATTGAATTCCGTCTGTTTCCATCTTCGGTCTGGCGACCCTTTTGCCTCCCGCTTAGTCACCGGTACTTGCCGCACCACGTGACTGCAGGCTATCTTCCGCCCGCCGCCCTCTTGGCAATATAAATATTCCTCCTTCCTGTCGCATTCTCCACCCCCCTCCGGCCCGCGCTAATCTTCCATCCTTTCTTGTATCTCTTGCAACTTCCGTGGCGTCGCATACCATCTGTGGCCCGCGCAAGACACCCGTCTGCCCTTGTGTGTCTTCTGTCATCTAATCAGCTGTTGTCGCTCGCCGATTACCGAAAATCCATACATTAGTCTGTGTTAGCGCAGAGAGAGTACCTATTCAGTTGATTTGTGTTACTGCCGCTCCCTAAACTTTCCGATTCCAGTGACCAGCTCCTGCGACCAGAATCGCTGCCTGTTAGATTCTTTTGTACCCCCGGTCCCGTCGGAGGACATAATCGAAAATTCAGCGACCTCAAATGGCGACGCCGCCTCCCGAGGCTCCCTCTGCGATCAAAGAGGAGAAGCCTCAATTGCCGCCGTCGCCCAATGGAGTTTCACCTGCTGATACTGGTCGCACAGGGTATGCTCCATTATTTTCGCGTTTTGTGTCTACGATGTCTGTTTACTAATGTCCTCGCAGAGTCCAAGATGCTGTAGCCAACGCCAAATCAGACGCGCCCGTCAACGGTGCAGAGAAGCCGACAGAGGAGACCAAGCCTGCCAAGGCCAACGGATCAACTGCTGAGTCTACCTCCAACACAAACGGCGTAGCCGCGACCGCCTCTCCGCCCAAGAGTCCATCCTTGCCGACCGCAGATACTTCCGCACAACCAGCCGTCGCGTCCGAAGAAGCCAAACCTTCAAATGTGGATTCCGCTGCGACTGGGGAGAAGAAGGAAACCGCTGGTGAAAAGACGTCTGCGGCTGCACAGGCAAGTGGCGACGGTGCGGGTGGCGCCGAGTCTAAAGATACACAGGCGCTTCAGGATGCATCAAAGCCATCAACTGATGCGCCGTCCGACGCCAAAGTGGAGAGCACTGCCCAGCCATCACAAGATTCTGCCGCTGTGAAAACCGAGCTGCCCCACCATCCTTCGAATGCGAAGCCTGAGAGCGCAATGCAGACCGACGCTGCTAGTACGGCGCCGTCGGTGCCGCCACTGCAGAGCGTGGATCAAGAGATGCGTGACGCGCCGGATGTTCCAGCCTCCCCGACCAAGGTTTCGAGGGAGCGCGAGCGTGATCCTAGCGACGAGCCTGCCGCCAAGCGTACCAAGATCGGAGGGGAAGGTGCGGCGTCAGCCGAGTTCAAGGTGCCTGATTTGCCTACACCTAGCGAGGCGCGCTCGGAACGGGCTACAAATGGAGAAGCAACCATGACTAAGGTTCAGCACAAGTTCCTCTCCAAGTCCATCCAGAGCTTGAAGCGGATGCACGATTCCCGCTTCTACAGAGAGCCCGTGGATCCCATCAAATTGAATGTCCCCCATTACCCGCAATTTATTAAACGGCCCATGGACCTTGGAACTATTGAGAAGAAGTTGAAAAACAACAATTATCGGACTGCACAGGCCGTTATTGATGATTTCAACCTTATGGTGCAGAATGCGCTGACATTCAACGGTCCCGACCACCTTGTCGCCCAAGAGGGGCAGAAGCTCAAGATCACCTTCGATAAGCAGATGGCCAATCTACCACGAGCCGATGAGGTGGAGGAGAAGAAGCCGAAGAAGTCTGTTGCTAAGCCCTCGACAGCAGTCCGTCGAGATCACCGCCCCGCTCCGAGTCCTAGCACGGCACGCGCCACGGGCGCTTCTCCCCAGGCGACGACGTTTGCTTTGGGTCCAGAAGGCCTTCCTTTGATTCGCCGCGATTCTGCTAATGCTGACGGGCGTCCGAAGCGTTCTATCCATCCTCCGAAGCGCGATCTCCCGTACTCCACGAAGCCGAAGAAGAAGAAGTACCAGTGGGAGCTGAGATTCTGCCAGGAGGTGCTGGACGAGCTGCACAAGCCGAAGCACTACACCTACGCGATGCCTTTCTACCACCCCGTTGATCCTGTTGCGCTCAACATTCCTACGTATCACAGTATCATTAAGAAGCCCATGGATTTCTCTACTGTGCAGAGCAAACTCAGGGCCGGCCAGTATGAGAATGCCAAGGAGTTCGAGCTAGATATGCGCCTCATCTTGAAGAACTGTTTTAAGTTCAACATCCCGGGCGACCCGACCTACATGGCGGGCCAGCGGCTCGAGGAAGAATTCAACAAGAAGTGGGCTCAGAAGACACGTTATCTGGAGCAGCATGAGCCGCATGTCGAGCATCACAGCGCAGAGTCTTCCGAAGAAGAGAGTGAGGAGGACGCCGAAGAGAGCGACTACGATGCCGAGAAGCTCAGCCTGCTGCAGAAGCAGATGGAAGAGATGACCCGCCAGATCGAAGCTATTACGAAGAAAAAGAAGACCCCGCCGGGAAGCAAAAAGCTCGGAAAGACCAAGCCGTCGAAGAAGGAGAGTAAGAAGCCTAGCACTATGGGGCTCGCTAAGAAGGAGAGCAAGAAGAGCACCACCAAGGTTTCAGCCAAACCGGAGAAACAGCACTGGGTCACCTACCACGAGAAGCAGATCATTTCCAACGGGATCAGTAGCCTTCCTGACAAGAAGATGCAGGAGGCGCTCAAGATCATCCAGACTAATGTCCCTGCCCTCAAGGTAAGTTATTTGCTCAATATGATCTTACTTTCTATGCGAGGCCTAACACGTTCTGCAGGGTACCCAAGAAGCTGAAATCGAGCTCGACATTGATGAGCTTCCTAACGACGTTCTCCTTATGCTACTTCGGTTTGTCAAGAAGAACGCGCCGCATGTGGTAGAGGAGGATCCTGCCTCTGCGGCAGCGGCGAACGCGGCCGCCCCGAAGCCGAAGAAGAACAAGCCCATGAGCAAGTACGAGCAAGAAGCTCAGATCAACATGCTCGAAAGCAACTTGTCTCGGTTCCAAGGTGGTGGCGGAGGCCGTTCTCCAGACCCTATGCCCTCGGTCGAAGCCAACGAGAGCAGCGACGACTCTGAAGATGATTCGGAGGAGAGCGAGGAGGAGTAAATGATTGCTGCCTCTGGCAAGCTATGTTGTTCTTCTGTTTGCTGGGCCTGTGCCTCATGACTTCAGTAGTTAATTCCCACTGCGTGTTACGCCATGGTCTTTTTCTTCCACCCACTAATGAGCTTTGTTTATCTTCTACCACTCTACTTCTGTTCCTAGCGATTGTGTTTTCATCTCATTTTCTTTTTTTATTTTCCATGTTGGAGGACAGTGCGATCGGTGTTGAGCCGTGCACTTGTACATAGGGTGCTATTTGGGGGAGATTTGGAGGATGTTTGATGACCAGCAGCACAACCGGATGATCCCCTTTGATGAGGTTGCGTGGATCTCCTATGAGCTGAGGGACGTCGAGTTCATCAGCAACGAGGGTGAGGTCGGATGCGGAGAGAAGCATGCTGGAAAGGCTAGGTGCGTGTATGATTACGAAAGGAATGTGAAAACGGAAGCGAAAATTCAGCTTTGTATTATGATATGATATTTATTCATTATGGTTCTTGTAGAGTGTAGGCCATGCTCTATCGACATGTTATGTACTGTAGATCGCCAGGTCACGGGGATGAGGCGGTGGCCGCCCGATTGCTCGCCGCCTGTTGGTAGATGATGCACTTCCACCTGCGACAGCTTTACGCGCAGCCCCTGCCATAAAACATGATCCCGCCATGCGATCCGGTCATTCTTGACAACAACCCTCAATTCAAGAGACTTTATACCCACCTGACGACGACTCTCTTGAATCCCGATGGCTCCACTCGCGCCCAGGATGCGCAACCCGCTAGACAGGCTGTTGTGGAAGTGCGTCTCACCTCATGATCGCAACACCAGGTCGCGCTATCCACTTCTGAATGGTTCTCTGACTTTGGCATACCGTATAGGAAGTAAAAGCCTGCCGAATACGAGACGCGAAAAAGCAAATCAAGAAGCAAACCTTGCGACGGCTGGCATTCGACCCGGACAGCGGAGTACCCGACGATGTTAGCAACACCAACCCACTCAAGGGAGATGAATCAGGCTAACGATTGATTCATTCAAGTGCCGAGACCCCATCGCCATCATAACCCTCTACCTCGAAACCTCCCCCGAGTTGCTCCAGCTTGACGACGACTCCCACGATGCAGCAACTGACGCGCAAGTACTCCTCGCGCCCGACATCGACGACTTCTACTCCAATCTTCCTCTCCTAGCCACGCCGCTATCTAAAGTTCTCTCCACAACACTCAACGACCTCCGCACAATAGCCAACGCAGGATCATCCGACTCCGCAGGCCCCGGATCTACATCAACACCCAATGAACCGCCCCGAACAACCCGCGCACGCAATCGCCAGGCTATGCTTAGGTCCGTCGCGCAGGTGCCGCTCGCCTCACAGCTCGAGGACCGAATTCGCTCTTTGCGTCATATACAATTGACGGAGCTTCCGGCAGCTCGGACCCGGATGGCTGCGACGGCGGCGGAGGTGCTCGCGACGCGGGCGGCCGTGCTGGAGCGCACGGTGATGCTCTTAGAGAGAGCGAAACATGGGGCGATGGCTCGGGCGGCGAAGGCGAAGGCGGATCATTTGCTGGCGGTGGCGCAGGGAATAGAGGGGAAGCTTAAGTATGTCTACATTGGAATGGGTTGGGAGAACAGGGGCTAATATGATATGACCGCAGTCTTACGAAACTGGATATACTCGCGACGATACATACACCGGAGGTCGTGGATGCGCTGCAACGGTATTATCAGCACCTTCAGAATACGAGGGAACGGCTGGAGGAGCGACGTGCTACGGCTTTGGAGGAGTTGAAGGACTACGAGAATAATATCGATGGAGCCGTGCGCGGACCGATGAAGGAGCTTGCGCGACAGTATGGGTCGTTGATACAGGAGGTAGAGGATGTGAGGATGGAGATTGAGCGATTGCATGTATAGACTTAATTTATGATAGATACCCTGAAACGAACATACGCCAATGAGTACATAATAACACTACCCTTATATCTTTAACTAGTACTAGTAGTACTACTTAAGTAGTAAGTATACAGCTAAACAACGAACCAATCACCAACCCCGCAATCACCTGACCCCTCCCGCCAAAAGTTTTCTTTTTTGCCATCCACTCACTGATAACGATAGTAGCCCACTTTAATTCTTATACTCAGGAACCACACCACCCCAACTTTCTATTTCTATACCCCTCAGAAAACCAAGCAAACCCCCATAAACTAAAAGGGATAAGAGAAAAATGGCCGACGACTCCATCTCCATCTACGACGAGATCGAAATCGAAGACATGACCTTCGACCCGGTTCTCCAGATCTACCACTACCCGTGTCCCTGTGGCGACCGCTTCGAAATCGCCATCGATGATCTCCGTGACGGCGAAGATATTGGTGTTTGTCCCAGTTGTAGTTTGATGATTAGGGTGATTTTTGATGCGGTATATTCCCCCCTCTTTTTCCTCCCTGTCTTTTAATGAAAAGGTTGAGAATTGTTGTGCTGATTATGCGGGGTTTGCGTCTAGGCCGATCTTCCCAAGGACGGTGATGATAAGAACGGGTCGGCGGCGGTCGCTGTTCAGGCTTAAATTTCGGGAGTTATCGCTTAGGGATAAGCCGATTAAGTTGATTTGATATTGGGATTCTCTACATTGGGTGGGATTTGATTGCTCGCGGACGATTGCTTTCCGATATACCTCGAACAAACGACGAGTGTGCTTTGCGATAAAGTATTCACTGCGGGATGTGTGTCGACTACGAGGACGTGGCTCAATGGTGATATCGGTGGGTGATGTCATGGCTTGAGCAGCAGCCACTCAACATACGATATGCAGCTTGCTGCACTAAAGAGCGAGCGCAGGCGCAGAGCCGATGCCGCGCCATCTAATACGGGCGCATGCGACGCAAGATGTCTATATCTGCGATAGATGCGCAGGTAGAATGAGTCAACGATGGAAGAATGGATTAAGATACCACTTGGATATATACTATGTTATTTGCGCACAAGTACTCTACGCAACGAGTACCGCGCCGAACTGTATTATCTACTACCAGGCACTACAACACTAGATAACTAGCAGTCACTCACACACATCAATCCATATCCTACACTTTCTCTCAACCACCCACCCGTAGACATAAAGCCAACCATCTCCCGGTGCGGAGAAAAGAAGCAGCAGCAGCAGCAGCAGCAGCAGCAGCCTACTCCAGAACCTCACTGTACACATCCTTCGGCAAGTTGAGGGTCAACTCATGGTTCAATAAATCCGTGAGATTCGACCCATCGCGGAGATAGATCCACTGCCCGTTAATAAACGGCCTGGACTCCTGCTTCTCATGCATTTGATCACCCTCCACCACCCAATCGTACCGCTTGGGGCCGGAAATCGGCGAGCTCAACCAAATTTGCTTGTTGGGGGGCTGCTTGTTGAGCACGTAGGTGCCTACCCCGGGGACGCTGATGTTCATGACGCCGGCCTGTAATTCATCATCCATCATTGTCAGTTGAAATGTTTTCTTCTCTTCGGTAACGTTACTCGGGAGTATCATGGGAAACCGAGGAAGGACGAACACTATATTCAGCTTCAATATCCGATCCCTCCTCCTGGACCTTCTCGATCTCATACTGCAGCACATCCAGGTAGTGCTCCGCATGGTCGTGGTACTGCGCGTCCGTCAACGGGGAAGGCTCGGTGACGTGGGTGGCTGCGCCGGCGACATTGCTGGATTCAGGGTGCGGAGCTGGAGGGTCTGCAGAGTCGGGGAAGATGCCTTTACGGGGAGCTGAGGTGGCGTGGAAGCATCGACGGGGGAGCTGGGGTTGAGGTTGAGGTTGAAGCTGGAATGGTGTTGCTGTTGCGAAGCGGGCACCGACGCGGAGGGAGGGACGGGCGACAGTTGCAGCGGCGGGGGAGAGAATTGCTCGGGGGAGACGGGAGTACATGGTTGGATTCATTGTGCTGGTTTGATTGAAGTTGTGGTGGTGGGAGAAGAAAGGGAAAAGAGGAAGAAGAACAAGAACAAGAGAAGAAGAAGTGATGGCATCACATCATCGAGTGCGGAGCGGAGCGGGCTGTCATTGGCTGTGGAGAGAGCTATACCTTTTAGTCTGTCAGCTTCATCATCCATCCATCTTCCTTCTTACTTCTTCTTACATCCACTCTCTACATTGCTTACTACCTTCTCCGATTTATGTGAGTCATTCAGGATTATCGCTGATTTATTTTTCTCAATGCGCCCCTGCAGGTCACTTAGACCCTGCATCACAACCCACACGATACTACTACAGCAATTCCAACCCCGACATCAGCTCCATCTGCAGCTCAACCTCCGACTCTCCCTCTCTCGATTTTATCATCACAACCACAACCACCACAAAAACATGTCCAACCCACGACCCAAACCCAATCAAAAGAAGGAAAAACGTCCCCCACTCACCCACTTCCTCTGCCTCCCCCTCATCAACGCCACCTCCCTCCCCCAACTCGAATCCTCACTCGCAACTTTCAAAGCCTCGGTCCCAACTCTCCAACCTCAACACCAACATGAACATGGACATCAACACCACCAACATGCACCTCAACCTCAACCTCAACCCCTCATCCCCCCCTCCGCCCACCGCCCAGTCGGCACCCTCCACCTCACCCTCGGCGTAATGAGCCTCCCCACCCCAGACCGTCTCTCCCAAGCAATCCGCTTCCTGCACTCCCTCGACCTAGAAGCCATGCTTCGCGAGACCCCTTCCTCCTCACCACAAACACTACCATCAGACCCAACTCCACCCGCCTCTCCATTCCTCATATCCCTCGAATCCCTCCACGCCATTCCCCGCGCAAAAGCAGCAACCGTTCTGCATGCCGCGCCCGTGGATCCCACGAACCGTCTGTATCCGTTTTGTGTGAAGTTGAGGGATAGGTTTCTCGAGGAGGGGTTTTTGGTGGGGGATAAGCCCGCGGAGAAGCCTGCGGAGGTGGCAGTGGAGGGTGGTGTGACTATAAGTGGTGAGGAGCAGCAGCAGAGGCAGGTGGATTTGGCTGCTGGGGATAGTGCAGAGATGGCGCCTGCGTCTGTCGGGTCTAAGCCCAAGGTACGGCCGTTGTTGCTGCATGCTACGATTGTGAATACTATTTACGCGAAGGGGAAAGGTGGTGGTCATGGTGGGAGAGGAGGGAGAGGAGGGGATGGCAGGGGTGATAAGAGGAAGAGGCAGTATACTTTTGATGCGAGGGAGATTCTTGCTAGGTATCGCGATTATGACCCGTCTGGGGAGGGCGTGGAGAGTGTGGAGAGTACTGGGACTGTTCCTAGTCTGGGGGTCATTGAGAACGAGGGCTCTGAGACAGGTTCAGGCTCAGAGGGTGAGAGTGGTCTTTCCAAACGGAAAGGCACGCCCTTCGTCTGGGCAAGGGATTTCCCTATCGAGTCGGTATGTATCTGCGAAATGGGGGCGAAGAAGCTCGTGCCTGCTCTGAATGGTAAGGACGAGGGCATGAATGCGCGACTAGGGGAGAAATATCGCGTCGTAGCGGAGAAGAGTCTGCTATTCGGTTCGTGATATCTTGAATATCATGTTCGGCTGAGAGCAGACAGCCACAGCAGCAGCAGCATGTACATACATAGTCTACAACCAGAATGATGTGTAAAAAGTAACAAAAGTAGATGAAACGCCAAACACCACGCTGAAAGACACACAACTCTCAACCACCAGACCAATAACCCCAACTACCTCACCTTACTCATCAACGTCTCCATGCCCCTCTCAACCGACAACTCGGCCGCCTTGGCCTTAACAGCACTAATCATACTGCGCTCGAAATCATCCCTCGTCCTCAGCACAGCCTCAACCCACGAGAGCTGCAAATCCCAATACTCGGTCTTAAAGTTCTCATACACAGCGACGAGAGCAGGGCCCTTCTCCGACTCCAACAATCTAACCAACCAATCCACCAACCGCCACTTCATCTTAATCGTACCGGCAAACGAATCCGGATAATTTTGGAAGAAAGCAAACACCGTAAGGACATCATCCTTGAATTTATCCGTGTAAGGGTCGGTATTATGACGAAACTTGACGCCCTTGTTGCGCACAGACGAGAGGTACTTGACGAGGAGCTCGTCGGAGAGTTCCTCGACCAGGATATCCGTAAGAGAGGGGTGCAGGACGGGAGAGTAATCAGCCATGTAGTCTTCGAAGGTCGAAGTGATCCGTTTGACAGCGAAATCGCCGTACCATTTCTGGGTGAAGAATTCGGGGATAGTGGTGCGGAAGTCGACGGCGAAGATGAGTTCGACGAATTGGGTGAGGCAGTGGGTGCTGAGATCGACGTAGCCGTCGCGCAGGGCGTCGAGTTCGGGGATGGCTCGGGAGGCCATGTACTTGGGGTCGACGATGGTTTCGAAGTCGCGTTTGAAGCGGCTGAGGTAGCCCAGTTGGCCGGTTTCTTCGTTGTCGTCGATGCAGGCAATTTGGTCGTTGGCGACGGCGACGAGCCAGTCCTGGAGGAGTTGGAGGCCGTCGAGGAGGTCGCCGCCGGGGGCTTTGTATTTGGCGCATTCTTCGTCGATGAGGGTTTGCCAGGCCACTTGGCGGGCTTTGAGGACGCGGAACATGGCGTCGATAATGCCCTCGACGACGTCGGTGCGGGAGGAGGCGCCCGAGGCCATGATCTGTTCGTGTAGCATGCGCCACATGTCTGGGAGGGTTTTGGTGCGGAAGCAACCTTCTGGGTTGGTGTCGAGGGAGTCTGGGATGCGTTCGACGAGTCCCTTGCGGTCGGTTTCGGTGATGCGGTTGGTCCAGTCTTCCACGGCGCGGATGATGATGTTTTGCCATTGGCGGATGAGTTCGGGTTCGCGGTCGTCCAGGATGTTGGGCTTGAGGTCGGCTTGTTTCCAGCCGAGCTTGTTCATCTTCTTGTAGTATTTCTCCGTCCAGTGGATGATGGCGAGGAGGTTGTCGGCGGGTAGTTCGGGGTCGTTGATCAGCCCGATGAAGAAGTCGTGCATCATGCGGTGGTAGATCTCCGTGTAGGTCTTGTAGATCTTCCATTTCTTCGGCATCAGCGGCTGCATGCCTTGTTGCACGGTGTAGAGGTCGTTGAAGAACCAGCGGAAGTTCTTGTCGAGGTTGTCCGGCTCGGCCAGGAAGTCCTCCTTGGTAGCTTCGAACTGGTTCTGCGCGTAGAACTCGATAGCTTGCAGGAACTTCTCCTTGTATCCGCGAACCGTCTTCGGTCCTACATTCATCGACTTAAACCGGTCTGCCAGGTCCTGGTGATCCTTCTGCGCCTCCTGCAACGCCCGCACTGTCTGATCATTCTTCTCTTCGTTCATGACCACAACCGCCAGCCGGACCACCATCCCAGGGTTATCCGACTGCACCAACGGAATCAAGTTCATGCACGCCGTACCAAGGTGATCATCAAACCAATCAACCACCCCATCCAACCCCTGGAAGTAATCCGCCAAAGTCTCCTCACTACTCGGATCCTGCGCCTTGCGTATCTGATCCATCGCCTCGTCTCTGAAATCGCGCAGCTTTGAAATCTGCATATGAGCCCTAAGCAAATTGGGCTGATTCTCCAGATCCTCATCATCTTCGCGCAGAAGATCCTCAACCACTGCCAGATTCTCACTGAACTCCTCCAGCCCCTTCTTCATCGTCAACGTGGCCTCGAAATTTCTCTGCACCTTGGCCAGCTTGTCGATCTGTGAGAAATCCTCCACGCTTGTTTGCGACTCCGCGCATAGCTTGTCGATTCCTTGTAGCTCGTCTTTCGTTTTGGACACCTGTCGCTGGCCTTCTGTGAGGGCGTTGATGCTGCGCTGCACGGTCTCTAGTTGGTCGCGCAGACCTTCCCGTAGCTGAGAATCAACAGCCGCTTTCTTGCGCGAGTATTCGGCTTTCAGACCCATGATCTTGTCGAGGTCTTCGGGGTGGCGGAGGATGTCTTCTAGACGGGGCATGGCCACCGTTCCGTTGTCGTCTCGCGCCATGGTTTGTAGCTGTCGCAGTCTCGAAGCTCACGGTATAGTCGTTCAACGAGTCCGTATCGCCGCAAGTATAGATACAAAGCCGATCAGGTATTATCACACCACCAACAAGTATAGTCCAATCAACCGACCGATGGTGGTTAGCTATAGTAACAGCTAGACCATAAGCTAGCAGCAATTATCCCCTCCTAAACGCGCAGCGCTCCGGGGTATATCTGCATGTCACAGAAACCATTAGCATGACAGCCTCCCAACATGAAAACAAGAAACAGACACTCACCAATGGCTCACCGAGCCAAAGAATGTTCCAAAATGACAATCGTTACGAAGATACACAGCAAATAGGTAAGTAGCATAGCAAGCATACTAAGTAGTAAATGCCACCCGCATTTCCCGCCCGCCAACCCGCCAACCGGCAGAACAACACCCACCACGTGACTCCCCGCCCAGCTACGCTACCGCCATCGGGAAATTTGCGGAATCAACAGCAAAAGCATCCCAGCGAACAGCATTCGCAAGCACAGAGAACAACTCCACATCCTCCAAACCAACTAGGTCATTGAGCGTCTACCTTACGATCCTCCGAATCCTCCCTACCAAGTACCTCCGAACCAACCAAACAAACAAACCCACAAACCGCCAAAATGAGCAGCTACTTCCGCGTCACGCTCATGCGCTCAGCAATCGGTCTCCCACGCCGCACCAACGACGTCCTAAAAGCCCTCGGCCTGAAGAAGCGCATGGCTACCGTCTTCCACCCCGTGTCGCCGTCTGTGGCGGGTCAAATCATGAAAGTCAAGGAATTGGTGCAGGTGCAGGAAGTCGACCGTCGACTCACGAAGCAAGAGGTGCATCTCGAGCGCAAGCCCGATCCGGGATACTATGTTGAGAAGACCTCGGGGGTGGAGTTTGAGGAGAATAGGTTGGCTTGAGTGATATCCATCTCTAGGGAATGAGGTGGACTGTTGGTGTTTTCGATTCGGCTTTTTTGCGGAATGGTTCGTTTTGATTGATTGATTGATTGGTATGCGATTGGAGTCTGGGATTTCATATTTTATTGTCGAATTTGTTGGATATGCCTGCTCATGTGGGTGGAAAGTGATGTGTACTATATGGGATTGAGCAAGTGGGTGAAATTCCCACTTAGAGGTGGAGGTGAAGGGAAGTGAACTATTGCATGCATCCAGCGGCTTTTATTTGATCAGATCGTGTATCTGAGTCCGGGTTCATCTTGCGCAACGATTTTGCACTGTACTATACTACACATATTGTCATATGGAATGGGATCTACATCACCCTAAAAGTTCAAGTCTTAACGTCTGTTTTATAACAATAATTCTCCAGACGAAGCAATACCCAACCTATGCACCATAACACCAATTGTCCACTATTTGCAATTCTTAGACTTATACGCTTTTCAACCCATATGGACAGTGCGGGCCTTTTTGAACAATCTAAGCTTTGTACAGGGTATCCAGGAAGCCCTCGGCCAGGCGGCTGACAATACTCTTGTCCGGCATGCTGCCGGCCACACCGTACAGGGCTGCAGTGTCTCCACGCTTAACAACGTATGCCTTGCCTTGCTGCTTTCTCTCTTCCGCCTTGGCCAACTCTGCCTCCACAGCCACGACCAGGTCGGTGGTAAGTGCATCCACAGCAGCGGCCGTGGGGACGGTGAACGCGACATGGATCGCCGGGGGCGATTGAAGCGCATTGAGATGCCAGCCCTTGGCGGAAAGGCTGTCCGCAATATCGTAAATATCAACGGCATCATTCTTGCTGTAGAACGCAACAACGCTGACCATGGGCTTTCCAACGATGTCCAAGCTCTTCGACAGAACTGAGTGCTCTTTGATGGAGGATTCGAACTTCTTGGCGGCGCCCATGATGTCCAAGCAGCTCTTGATGTAGCCAGACTCGCCAACACTCATCAAACTGGCCCAACATCCGGCAATCAGGGCACCAGGACGGGAACCCGCCACAGATGGGGATGCATAAACACCACCGGACCAGTCTGGGTAGATGAAGTATTGGTAGCTGCGGTAGGCCTTGTTGCGATACAAGAGCACCGAGTTACCCTTGGGTGCAAATCCATACTTGTGTGTGTCCACACTGATGCTAGTAACTCCGGGAAGGCGGAAATCAAAGCCACCTTCCTCTTCATAGGGCGACGCAAAGCCTGCCTTCTTCAGGAAGGCAACAACAAAGGAACCAAGGCAGCAGTCAACATGCAGAGGGATCTTGTAAGACGTCGCGAGACGAGACAGAGCTGGGATGTCATCAACAATTCCATGAGGGAAGTTGGGTGCCGAGCCAACAATCAAGACAGTGTTCGAGTTAATCAGGCGACGCACGGAGGGAATGTCCACCTTGTACTCGGGAGCCGGGCAGGGAACACGATGGAGCTTGATCTTGAAGTAGTTGCAGGCTTTGATGAAGGCAGCATGAGCAGTATCGGGAATAATCCTATGGGCGTGTCAGTAGATAAGCAGGGTATGTATAGAAGTAGCCACCCACATTTCCGGTTCCTTTACGCCACGCTCGAGGAAAGCCTTCTGGCGCGCACCCAAGCATGCCATGATGATCGACTCCGTACCGCCACTAGTAGTGACACCCGCGCCATCGGACGGGGCATTGAACAACGCCAGAACCTAAACCAAGTAAGCCACATACTCGTGAACTTCCCGGAAAGTCATTACCATAGCTACGACTTCGGCTTCCATCTTCCGAACACCAGGGAACACATCAGGATGGATGGGGTTTGCAACACCAAACTGTCCGAACGCTTCTGCCTGCAGCTTCAACAGGTCCTGGCCACCGTGATAGACAGCACCACTGACACGGCCATCTTCCCAGCGCGTATGTTCCATATTCGCCAGCTTATCGAGCTCAGCGCGAACCTGTTCCGCGGTCCATCCTTCCTTGGGGAGATTCAGATACCGATTAACACCAGGCCCAGACGCGACGAGTTTCGATTCGAGATTCTCAATAGCGGTGGAAACCTGCTTATCAACCTGGCCGCGGACGCCGGGGAATCGCAGAAAGACGGAATAGAAGAAGAGACGGACGGCGGCGTAGGCATTACGGATGCTGCCGAAGATGCCATAACCGCGCAATGAATAGAATGTCTTGCGAACGTAGCGAAGGATAAAGAGGACAAAAACGATATTTCGAAGACTAATCGCCCGGTGATTATCAGGTTAGCACATAGCTCCAGAAAACAAACGTCAGACGAGCGAGCGATCGTCCGCCGTTACGCGGGGATAATGTAAAGCTGCTCGGCCACTCACAAGTCCAGATGTGCCGCCGCCAGTTGGGTGCTGGGGGCCCTGCTGTAGCCCAGCAGTTTATTCTGCAGGGCGACGGGAAGTAAAGAAGATGCCATAGTTGTAGGCAATAGAAATAAAGCCGGGTCGGGGTAAGGGCACGACGACCTCCAGACTGAGGGAGAAGAGAAAGACTGGGGAAGTGAAGGAAGGTCGATGGGTCGGATGATGCAGGAAACCGGAGCCGGGGGCGATAAGAACGACTGACTGGCCGCGGACGGGCAGTCGGGAAACTGCCTCGGTTCCCGCATGCGCCGCTTCTCATGACAATCTAGTCTAGTACTAGATTTGACACTCCACATGAACTCACATCACCCCCTTGCTTCTGTTACACCAATCAATTCCAATTAATCTTACTAGATATATTGCAGCCACACTTTTAACTTTGGTATATCCTGTATATTGTAGGATAGATGCATATGGCATCGAAATTCTGCGTATGTACACGGTCCCACGCGAGGACCAAGGGCTGTCCTAACACCGGCCCCCCTCCCTTTTTTCCATCAGAGACAAGGAACAACTTTTGAAAACCCCGTGGAAATCAAAGAAACCATCCTGAGAACACATAAACATCCATTCATGAAACCAGCAAACGCAAAACAAGAACGTCCTCCGCCAAGGGAGCCGCTAAAAGAGTAAGGAAATAGAAAACATCGAAGCTCTAATAAGGATATAGACGTCTATCCCAGTCGGAATAAATGCATGATTAGAAGAAAAGCCAACGTCGGAGATCACTTTTAATCCCGTACTTAGGCAGAAGCCTGAGCGGCAAGCTCCTTCTCCTTGGCAGCGAACTGAGCCTGCTCGTCGGCCGTGAGGTCCAGGAGGGGCTTGTTCTCGCCCAGCTTGAGGTTGCGGTAGTAGGCACGGATGATACTGTCGGCATCATCGACAGCAATGGGGCGGATATCGGCCAGAGCCTTGATCTTGGCCGTGCACTCCTTGTACTGGTCATCGGTCATCTCGATCTTGAGCTGCTGGGCACGCGACTTGATGGCGTTCCAGCCGGTCAGACGAGAAGCGAAGTGGACATAACGAGACATGCCGAAGTCAGCAGGGTTGATGATCTCGTAGGTGCTGGGGTTGTTGAGGATGGCCTTGGCGTGGATACCGGCCTTGTGGGTGAAAGCGCAGAAACCGGTGATGTAGTTGTTGAAGGGGATGTTGACCTCAACGGCCTCGGCAACAAGGTCCTCGATATCCTTGAGCTTCTCCAGCCTGTACTTGCCCTTGACGTACTCGGGGTCGGCAACCATCATGCGGGCCATGAGACCACCGAGGGGAGTGATACCGTTACGCTCACCGATACCAAGGACGGAGGTATCGATGTGAGTGGCACCAGCCTCCAGGGCACAGTAAGCGTTGGCAATAGCACAACCAGTGTCGTTGTGGAAGTGGGTTTCGATGTCACAGCTGACAACACCTCTCAGGACACGGACAAGCTCGTAGACCTGACGGGGGGAAGCGCAGCCGACGGTATCGGCGATACCGACACGGTTGACACCGACCTTGTCGACGGCCGAGTAGATGGACAGGAGATCGACGAGGTCAGAGCGGAAAGAGTCCTCACTGGAGAAACGGATCTCAATACCCTTGGACTTGACGAATTCGATGACTTCGATGGCGGTGTTCTTGATGTAGGTCATGTCCTTGCCGTGGGAGTGCTCACGGAGGTAAGAGGAGGTTCCAATAACAACATCACTATCCGAAATTGTTAGCAGTCGAACATGGAATATACAGGACAATCAGCACTTACACTCCATCGACACCGGTCTCGACGGCAATGCGAGCATCGTCCATGTGGCAACGGATGTGGGTCAGGATCTGAATCGAACATTAGCTGGATGACGCACAACACGCTGTAGACGAATATAACATACCTTAGCCTTCAGGCCAAGCTTGCAAATGGCCTCACAGTCCTTTCTCGACTGCTCGGAAGCGCAAGGGCTGGTGAGCTCAATCTAAAGTGGTGGTCAGTGCACGCTCTCTCCGGCATTGTGAAGATCCACCGGGGTATGACTCACGTAGTCAACACCGAACTCATCGAGGGCCTTGGCGATTTCAATCTTCTTCTCGGTGTCGAAGAAAGCGTTGGCGAACTGCTCACCCTCACGCAGGGTACTCTCGATGATCTGGAAGCGAGAGACGTTGCTCAGGAAGTCGGTGACACCGACGTTGTGGCCATAGGGGTTCCGAGAGACGGAGGGGTGGGGGTTCTGGCGAGTCTCGACGGCAGTGAAGCCGGGGTGTTCACCTGAAGGGTATTGATTAGTATAGGCACTTGCAGTTCATCTGTTTATTTAAGAGCTAGAAACATACCGTTGCGGCCATTGGCAGCGTTGGCCTGCCCATTGGGCTCGTGGTCTGCACCGGGGCACATTGTGAATGAATTGATGGTGGGGTAGCACGCAGATAGATCGGTAGTATATAGTTAAGACGGCAGATGGCTCTAGTAAGGTTGATGGTCAGTATTGAGCAACCAGCATTGAATGAGAGCAAAGCGAGATAGATATAGGAAGAAGACTAACAAGCGAGGCCAGCGAATGAGTCACAGATGGATTTAAATGAAGAGACGTCGTTGAGGGAGGCAGGGAAGAGTCATAGGTTGCCAGGAGAAAGAGAAAAGTGGGCGGAGATTAAAAAAAGCCGGGCGGTCAGCGCAATGATGATTCGCGGGCAATGCAACTGGAGACTCCTCGGCCGGTCCCTCCCTTCTGCTCTTCTTTCTGCGGCAACGACGAAATTTTCACCCTCTTTTTTCGCCTGCTGGAACTGGCTCACGCTCCCCTCTTGTGGGGAACCTGGACCGTGAACTGCGCATCCGGCAGCCCCAATTGCTCAGCGTGAGGATCATTCCCCAGTCTCCAACAGGGTCAACCAATGTCCTGTAGTCATTTCCATTATTAAGGTCTACTCCATTCTTTGCCTACAGGCTGCCTTGGGGCGCTATTCATGGGCGGTGACGGGCTACGTGGATTTGCCACTGAAAGAGTATGCCAGCGACAACGAATGTGCCATTCTTGGTACAGGTGGCTGAGGTGGAAGTGCATTTTGCTGGTAGATCTTCGTTTATCCATCCTATCGCTGCTACCGAGGGCTTTTAGCCTTTTTCGAATCCCAGTCAGAAGGGTTTGTGTCTAGGGTTCACCACCCCCTGCTAGTGAACACTTGGGTTTAGTTCAACCCGACATCGGCAGGGGGGCATTTCTCGGATAGATGATAGCGTCTTCAATGGCTCGCGTCGAGATGCCAACGATTGATAATCGCCTTTCCACTTCGATCGTGAAACCATTATCATTGGCTGATTTCGATTAGCAGTCTCCAAGTGTCCTGGCAACCATATCTGAAGGGCTGCGTAACCTGAATCATAACCTTGACTAAGGTTGGAGAACGGCCCTCCTGAGGCCGTTGCTAGGACTTGCTACACTTTCTTCCCCATTCAGGACTTGAGTCACATCCAGTACGTCACCGGTGGCCGATACCGCCCCTCTATTTTCATTTCCTGGCTTTTCGTTGGTCAGCCTGGATTACGTCAGGTATTTTCTCGCCCGATAGAGTAATATGCTGCTGATCCCTGCACCACTGTTTGCGTTAGTCTATTTTCGGCATAGCCCGCTCTGGCCAGGCCTTTATCCGTCAAGTCCGTCTGATGCATTATTCCTAATGGGGGTGATTGTAGCTTATAACCCAGTGCTAATGCTGAACGGAGTACTTATGCCTACATTTATTGTAGAGCTGCAGTGACACTACTATCAAGCATGCAATAGATGCAGGGACCTCTGGCATCTACATCACATTCCAACGCCGCAGCTCAATAGCCTAGTACTCTGTACATGGGTGACTGTACTAAGGATACTAAAAATAACAGCATGATAGTCGCTATATTCATTGCTGTCACTATATATGTTCCTGTTGAAACACATTCGCTATTTCATGCATCCCGGGTTTGTTTTCCCCATTAGGGTAATCTACATATACACCTGTCAGCATCTAAATCAGAGTTGCAGGCCAAATCATAGGCTCTCTTCCGTACAAAGGTGTCAGAAGAATTCAAAATGAATGTATCTAGCCGTAGTTGAAAAGTGCTTTGATTTATGACCCGTCAAAATCTTTTGTTGAGTTCAGTCTTTCTTTTGGAAACAGAACTAAGAGACATACTCTCTATTATTCTATATTGGATTCGCCGCAAACAGGTGATCACAACAATGGGCTAGACAATCGTAACGGGTTATAAGCCCGAATATCCACATTGTACATCAATAGGCTCTCTCGAGATTGTTATGTTTCTCAAAAAGCTCGGCTCTCACAAATCTCTACATTTACAAGATATAAGTGGAGCGTACATTGTCACCATAACAGGACACTCTTTTACAGTTTGCATATAGGCTGATTCTGGAAGATTAGCTGGAGCTCGAACTAAAATTCCGAGAGCGTGGAACCATATGTTTCTTGGATTCTTGTATAAAACGAAGACATCGAGGCGCTGTATCTCTGTAAGTTCCAAACCTCTATTCATTTACGCAAGTATATTTACGAGAGATGCGTTACCGTCGAACAAGACGTCCTAGATGCAAGTGTATTTCTGTCAGATTTTTACTGTATCTAGGTTCGGTAACAGTAAGTATTGTTACTACAAGACCGTTATGAGCACCTCTACCAGGTAGTGAAACGCCTGGATCATACAATTCCCGGCATGATTGATACTTATTCATGGCCCGTGGAAAGTTCTCACGTAAGAGGTCCATGCTCTGTTTGAAGCACTCTCATCGGCCGTCAAACACGAAAATGAGGATGCAGTCCATTCTAGCAGACAGATTCGATGCAGTGGTGAATTATAACGAAAGAGACATGAACAAATATATGGACATCTTGCACCCGAAAGAGGGTCTGTAAGAGAAACTGACAAATGCTCAATTTTCTGCTATAGAAGTGACAGTGAAGTGTCCTATAGAAGTTTCATCACGACCAAGTTGATTGCATAGAAGCACCGACAGATTCTGGAATGTGTCAACGAGAGGAGATTTATCACACCTTCAAGGTATCGTATCACAATTTCTAGATAATGTGCCAAAGAATCAGAAAAGAGCCCTAGGTAATAAGAGGTTTTCTCAAACTTAGTGAGTATCTCTAGCAAAGTGATCAGTAAGGCCATAAAGAGCTTACTGTTGAAATAGTCACCTCCTTGTTGCAAATACACAAGACCACGCACGAGCATATCGGGGCGGACCAAGTAAAAATTGACTATTTCATTTACTGGCTTATATACATCCAGATACATCACAGACTGATAAAGGAAACATGACACCGTTGGGAAAGGAGACACTAGTGGTAAATATCTACCTCAGCAAGGCAGAGTTGACAAAGTATAAATATGGCTGTAAGAAAAAGGACGAAGTCAAGTATTGATAATATGATTGTTAATATTGAATTCTGTCTTGGATCGTATAGACATTATAATTGGGAAGAACTCTTCTATCTATTGAAATAGTGACCTCTTCTCGGCAGGGAGACAGGTCTAATGCATTAAATCTCAGTGTTTGATGCCTCTAATGGCTATAGGATCTAATTAGCAGTCATGTGTAAAAAAATTCATCTGCTTTCAGAGATAACTAATAGAACTTGACAGATACTAGGAAGAAAGAAATAGAAAGAAGACATCACAGTGACAAAAGTGGCCATCTAGATTAGTGACAATAGCATTGACAAACCCTTGCTTTAATGGCTCGGACGCCAGATATACGCTGCTCTTATCTGTCACTAACAGAGTCCGGATATGTTAGACGTTGGACAGGGTTTGAATTTGGAAGACTGCTAGGGTCAATCACTGGAGTATATGCGAAGATAGCAAATAGCAAGTCAGGTTCTGTAAGACACTCCCTTGAGTTGTCGTATTATGCTCTCATCAACCTACATTTATTCTTTTTAGATTATATACCCCGTTTCACTAAAGCTGTGTCCAAGTGTCTAAAGTAGACGTAGCATCCTTGAAGAGTTGCACAGTCATTCTACTGTGCAGGTAGAGTAGCTGCATTGAATATCCTCATCCATGAGCCGCTAGTACTGGTTCACTCTTCCGTCCAGCACACTGAAAAAAATCGACCGTTGATCTAATGTGTCGAAAGTTGTCTTCACTTTTTGGGATTATAAAGGGGTATATCCCAGGCCAAGGGTAGGAAATAGCCTTAGGACTGATATTCGGTGGGTTCGTGATACTTGACTTTGGAATGACTAGCAACTGATGTTGCATATATTTCTGTTCACACTGGGATCTGTTAGTACTATTCTATGAAGGGAAACAGGATGACTTAGGAGATGTGTACATGTCTCTTCAGAAACAGGTATGCTTCTGTTGAGGATCTGAAAGCCTTCCGTCTGTAGCAACTAACGTAGAACAGCTAGGAGTGGTGTCGAGAGTCAGTCAAATGAAATAGCTAGTCTTACGCAGAGAAGCAGCACTAGATCAAAGGCGAAGCCAACAAAATGTTTTATTTCTGATCTTCATGGCTCGGTCGATTTCATGTACACTATCCCACCGGCTCAGGCGGCTCGATAGCAGAGATGTGTTTCACGTCTAATCCAGATGATCATTCCAATTAGATGGCATATTGATTACTACATCTAGTAATACATGCGAGCCATTACATAACTTCTCATCTTGCACAATCAATGGATTTAAAGGCGTGTTTGCCAGCATTGCGAGGGCGATAAACTGGACGAATTAGGGCTGATACAGATCCAACGGACAAATCCTTCACCTGAGCTCTCTCAAGAGCTTTTATGTCGGTGAGGCGTTTTCTCTGAGGACCCGTCTTTGCTTGGTGGTTTGTCGTTCCAGTCGCAACCCACAATACTAGGACTTGTCCCACTATTTTCGGGCCAAAATTCTGCCATCTCAGTATGCGATAATCTGGGAAATATGATCATCCCTTCCAACGGGGCGGGAAGGATCCCCAAGACATCGTGCTCTAGACTAGCATGAACTAGATTGACTGCGGCATTGTAATGTCAGCCAAACGTGGTTGTGGCGCTTGCTGTGGGAAAAACAAATTGCGACTTTTGGTCTCTTTCCGGGTGGGATGGGGAGAGATTTCCTATAAGAGTAGACATACTTCGATTTCTTATTGGTGCAGAAACTCTTTCTGAAGGCCAAGCTGGTAGGCTAAAAATTAGTATAGACAGTAGACACAGTAAGACGTCTGTCATCCACCCAAGGCATGTAGATCCACTCCTTCGGTCATGCCACATGGGGTATCTGAAATGTTGACTGTACATTCGTCATGCTTGCAAACGGTCTGGAATCCTCTGTGCTTACTAGTACCTAAGCGTCCCCACATTTCCTGAAATTGCTGAAACATACACTTGGGAAGTTTAGTGTCCTGG